ACCCTAAATTTCTTCTCAAATTGGAAGCAGAAATCCATCTCAACATGTCCATTTTGCCAAGCATTGTGGGGGTTTTTTTTGTTAGTCTTCACTCTTACCCAAGCAAGTAGAATTTAAAGAACTTAGGGCACCTATACACATGCCCAATGTCTGCTCTGACACATGCTAATTAGTATGCCTCAGAGCAGTTGATTAATCTTGGCATCACGTGTATTCAGCATCCCTGCACTTCAAAATGGCAGTGGGGACACATGGAATGAGCTGTAGTTAAAAGTGTCTCCACCGCAATTTTGAAGCATTGGACACCAAATACACGAGACGCTACAGGCACTTTAATTACAGCAGCTCCCAACAGCTGCTCTAATTAAAGTGTCCCCTCCCCCCAACCCTGGAGCATATGTAAAGACACTAAGTAAATATTAGCTTTCTAGTTGAATATGCCTAAGGAATTAAGGAAATCACCAAAGCAGATGATCTACTAAGGGGATAATGAAAAAGGATAGAATCTGTCTCACTAGGTTATGGTTTGTATCAAGGAATGTTACAAATAAACCTGTGTTCTCCCAAAACCTGAATTACAAACCACAAGATCAATAGCAGCTTCCATATCCTGCTTTGGACATATCCCAGTCTTAAAGATAACTAGAGCTGTCCCTAGGAGCTCACTTATAACAGTACCCAGGCTGTTACCTGGCTCTGCCAGTCCAATCAGAAGCTCAGTTTGCTAAGGCAGGTTGTCACTACTTAATTAGACCCCACCTTCTAGCACCACAAGATGGGAGTCCTGGCTATCTAACAATTCCAGCAGGAATGTACAAAGATCACCCAAAAAAAGAAATCAGAGTTCCACTTCCGCTTCTGGAGTTATTAGAGGAACACTGCAGATTCTCTCTCCCTGCCCTGAACTCTGCAAATAAGCAGCCTTAATCGGGTCTGTTTTAAAAATATTCTTATAAGCTTTTCATTGACAAGTTCTAGTACCCCCAGCCCTTGAAATTTCTTTGGGATGGGGGAGCAGGTTCACTCTGGTACCAGGGATGTGTCTTTTGTTATACCTACAAAAGTTTGCTTAAATTTGGCAAGTTAATAAACCTCTGAATAAAAATTCTGTTTTTGCATCCTTGGTAGAGACTTATCCAGAGTTTGGCAACTAAATTGTCTTTACACTATGTTGGCACTGAGTATGATCCAGCCCCTGACTGATCCTGTGTTGACTGTAAGCATATGGTCAACTATCTCCATGAAGAAACTGAGCATGTTCCAGACCACAGCTGCATAAAAACAAGACTTCCCCTGTAATTGTTTCTTTCAGCTACTGCAGACCTGAGAACAGGGGCACTCTCTCTCCTGTGCTGTCCCTTCTAGCACCCAGGTAGCAAGGAGGACATACCCTCATTTGAATGTAAATGGGTGAGGAATACCTTTGTGAGGAGGGAAGAAATGCAGGACAAGCAGGAACACAGCAGAAAGAGATGCTAAAGCAGGGGAGGTGAGTGGAGAGGAGATGGAAGCAGTAGCCACGAAGGGACTGGGATGGATAGAGGAACATGAAGTATAGAAGGGATAAACTAACATAAAGGATAGAGTTGGGCAGGAGTAGGATAGAAATATTTGTGAAGGATGTGAGGACCTGGAGAAGGGTGACAGGGGAAAAAGGAGTAGCTGGAAGGGGAGATAACAGAAGGGAAGTGGGTGAAACACATGGGAGACAGGACACATTTTCTTCTAGAGCTTAGCTCTGAACTTATTTATTCTTGAGGCTTAATAATCCTTTGTCCTCTAGCCAGTAAGTTTGATACCTGCTAGCTAAGTGTGTATCTTCATCTGTCTCTAGGTGTTGGGCCATGTAGTGAATAACAGCTTGCTATTACCACCAGCGCCAGTTACTCCATTAACTCAAGCAGCAGAGGTCTTTGCTGGGAAAATGCTAATGTTAAGGTTGTCTGTGCACATTGGGTTGGACTCATTTATACGCAATATGACACAGCTTTTAATTACACCATCACTATTTTTTCCACAGGCCCCCTGACTCATTCAGTGCAGGGATGGACTTGCTCCGGGAATGAATAAGGGCTGTATCGTGAAGGAGGCTATTGTCTTTAGGATGCTGACTTCATTTGGTGCAGAAGTTGGAAAGTGCCTTACGGTTAAAGCAACTGATTGTTGCACTGGAGAATTATGTTCCATTCCAGCTTTTGTCACAGAGTTCCACTGGGATGTTGGATAAATTCTTAAAATAAACTTTTCATAGGTATCTACATTTTCTAGGTACCCAAACTAAGATACTCCGCTCTGGCTGCAGAAGTGCTTAACAGTCCCAACTAAAACTGAGGTAAATTGGGGCTGTACTTTGAACATATAAAAAGATTTTCTAACCTTAGGCCTCTCAATTTGGACACCCAATGTTAGTTGACACTTCTGATGATTTGGATTATAATCTCTGTGGCTCACTTCCTCCAGCTCACCTCACAGGCATAATGTGAATTAAAATTAATGTTTGGAAAGAACTAAGCTAATACCATGAGAGAGCATCATTAAAAACCCATGACAAAATTAGTAATATTGTATTATATTACTGTACACTGGACAGTGTGCTGCAAGTGAGCCTTAGGGCCTTCCATAGAATAATGACGATAAAAAGAAATAGTGTATAGCTAATGACCGGATGAGCACCATCCAACCTGTATACTCCATGAGGCAAGGGTTCTATGGGAAAAAAATAGTATGTGATCATGTAATTAAATGTTATTTGACACTGCAGTGTTAATGCTCTTTAGAAGTAGGCCATTTTGGAGATAATATCCTTTAGATTGTTCAGTCCCTGGGCAAAAATCCATGCCTTTATAAAGCAGTAGCCTTACTGACATTACTCAACAAGAATTTCCAGCGTATCTACTGCAGTCCATAAGCAGGAGTGCTATTCTTTTCCATTAGTATATCGGATTATGTCACTGTTTTAACAATTTACTTTCAGGTCAGATTATTCAGATCTACCCAAAATTTTTCTCAGTTTAGTGAGTGAGGAGGCTCTCTCATTTGGGGTTTCATTTTAAGAGGCAGACTTTGGTAATGACAAACTTGAGTATATGAGTCAACAAACCAAACTCACTGTTACTACTTGAAGTATCTCCAATTTACGATGCCCTTAAATCAGTTCATGAGACATCATCTTTGTCTCTGTGTTGGAAGGTTATTTTGAAGCATGCAAGAGACCTAATCTTGTACCTTGTAAATATCTTCTAATCAATGAGAATAAGGGAGGGGAAGAGGGTGAGAAAGATACTGGGGGACAGAAAGAACAAGAAGAATATGAAGGACTATGTGGGAGAAGAAAGAAAATTAAGAGTTATAAGGATTCATAGGATATGAATCACTCGAGGCAGACCAAGATGAGAATGGATGGAGGAACAAGATGAAGGGGTGAAATAGAAGGCAAGAGAGGATGAGGGTGGGGATGGAGCCACGTAATTATTCTGCATTGGTACAGAAAGCAAGCCAAGTCCTGGCCACCGCTGACATCAAGTGATATCAGTTATGTTAAATGTGATCAAAAAGTCATGGATATTATTTCATCTCTGAAAATACCATTTTGGTTTCAAAGTCTCTTGGCCACTAAATTCCTCATTCTCCAGTCCATAGTTTCCTACATAAAATGAATGTAATCCACCTTGAGGAGATACTTATTGTCTTACCACTTACATTTAAGAATGACTTCCAGGTTGGGCAGAAAGCAGAAGCAGTGTTCCTAGATCTTACTGTAGCACATAACACAATATGGCAAACAGGTCTGTTGTACAAATATTCATTTGGTCCTACTGCAATGGGTTGTCGTGGTTGTAAAATTGATGCAGGGAAGCCACCAGTTCCAAGTCTCATTTGGACCCCGCCCCCCGCAAAAAACCCTCCACCTAGCAGTGCCCTTCCAAGCCCAGACCACACCTCGCTGTTTAGGATCTGCAGTGGACAACATGGCAGCCGCTGTCTTATCTCAAGACGCTTCGGTTCCTCTGGGGACTATTGCTGTCCCCACTGGACAGGGGGAAGTGGAAATGACCTTCCAGTGTACAGGCATACTTCGGAGATATTGAGGGTTGGGTTCCAGACCACTGCAATAAAGCGAATATCGCAATAAAGCGAGTCACACGAATTTTTTGGTTTCCCAGTGCATATAAAAGTTATGTTTACACTATACTGTAGTCTATTAAGTGTGCAATAGCATTATGTCTAAAAAAACAATGTACATACCTTAATTAAAAAATACTTTATTGCTAAAAAATGCTAACCATCATCTGAGCCTTCAGCGAGTCGTAATCTTTTTGCTGGTGGAGGGTCTTGCCTCAATTTGTAAAAAACGCAATATCTGCAAAGCGCAATAAAGCCAAGCACAATAAAATGAGGTATGCCTGTAATCAGTGCTTGTCACACTGGCAATAGTCGGGCCTTGGGGATTGCACCTTCCACCCCCACAGTGGGTAAAAATGTGTGGCACATGCTCAAACACAGGGGAGGGGGTTGCCCTTTCCCAGCATGCCAAGCAGGCACATGCTTGCAGGTTGCACCGCCTGGCTCAGTCCCTCACAGGTCCCCAAGACCTGGGAGGCCTACCCACAGCCCAGGCACCGGGTGCCAGCAGAGGGCAGCAGTGAGGCCGTGGGCTGAAGGTAGGGAGCATGCGCAGTTCTCTCCCCTAGGGGGCGCTGCACCCCTCTGGCTGCGCGCGCAGCTCCACGTGCCTTCCAAGGGGGGGGTGCCCCGCGCCTGCGCGCCTCACTTCGAAGGGCAGACAATGGAAGATGGAAGCGAGGCTGGGAGAAGGAGAGGGGCGGGAGTGACGATTTGGAGGCGGAGCTGAGCGTGCGTGCGGCGCGCTCGGCACTCGATTGGCCGCCCTGAGAAGCGCCAGCTACGCGCAGGGCACCGCCGCCGCTGTGCGCGCGAGACTGAGGGACCGCGCGCGAGGAGGGGGCGGGGGAGGGAGCGAGCGAGCGAACGAGCGAGCGAGGGGGGAGAGCTGCGCAGCTGCGGTGCGCACGGGCTCCGCCGCCAGCAGCAGGAGCGGCGGCAGCACTAGTACTACCGCCTCCCTCCTCCCGCTCCTGCTCCCGACCGGGGGGCCGGGGCAGCGCTCCGCGGGCACCAACTACTGCAAAGTCCCCGCGACCCCCCCGGCGGCTCGTGGCGGGCGCCCAGCATGGCCTCCGAGGAACTCTACGAGGTAACCGCCCCTCCCCCCCACACCGAGCCGGGCGG